TGAGTTCGTTTTAGTTGCTGAAATTTCACTGCCAACATATGCTTCTAGGAATGTTATGATAAAAAAAAAATTTAATCTGGCCATTTTTCCAGATTTGCAAAAGTGGCTATTTTTGTAAAATGTGCGTTTATACAATTGTGACTATGTAGTTAATGGTCATAAATGCAAACTAAGTAAAGAACCAAGATTGTATGAACTTTGGGCCTTTTTAAACCAAAAAATAAAAGCTGGTCCATTTACCTTTAAACAACAAAATTACCCCCTTTTCTTCTATATAACATTGGGCCAATTAAAATCCATTTCTTGGCCCATTTTAATAATAAATTCCAGCAGCCCAAGAGCTCTTTACAAGCTGGCCCATTATTTTTTTAACAAGAAATTGGCTCATTTCTTTTAAAATAGATTAAGTTGGTCCAACTTTTATTTGCTTAATTTTTCCCAACTATAAAGCTAGAAAATTGGTAATAATATCAGATTTTTCTACTATTTTTAATTAACTCATTTTCTTTTTAAACGCTAGGCAATTAGTAGGCGCGCTTTAACTCACGAAATCACTTGTGTAGCGTGATGCTTGAATATTCGATAAATTAATTTAATAATCTCATACCATGCCCATTAATTTTAGTTAATTCTTAATTTAGTATTTTTTTTGTTAAGATCACGAATTCGCTTGCGTAGCGCGATAGTTGATTTTTTATTTTATTTTCAAAACTAATCTCTTCGAATGTAGTAATTTTTCCAGACGTAAATAACATGCTAACAATCGTTTGTCATGACTGCGGATTCGCTTGCGTAGCGCCTAACTAATAAATTTCGTCGATCATGCACTCGCTTGCGTAGTGTGGTTATGACATCTTCTTATTAAAAAATATTCTTTAATTTTTCTAATAATCAAGAGATAAAAGCGGATAGGTAAAAATATGAAAAATAATATAAATCACAGTTTATCCAAAATTAATTTAAGCCAAANTCCAAAATTAATTTAAGCCAAATGTAGTCAATAAAGCGACCGTGCTAGAACTACGGGACTCGGGGAATGCCTTACACCTTCTCCTCGGTCAACAGAATTCCTTATCCGGACTTTGTTTACGCAGACCAATAATAAAAGAGTCAAACCTTCCTTTGACTAGGGATTCAAATAAAATGTGACTTGGAACACCAACAAATCAATTCCAAGTGGCGACTCTAAATAACAAAAATAATCCATATTTCAAAATTGTCACTTTAATTGGAAAAACTCTTTAACCCACAAATTCGTAGCATAACACGTTACATTTTGTACATATCTTTTGGAGGGGTAAAAAAGGGGTGTGACAAAAGTGACAATCGATCTCTATATGCTTTATTCTTTCATGAAACACAGGATTTGCTGATATTTCCATTGCAGCCCTGCTGTCACTATATATGTGTACTGGAAATTTCACTTTTGCTCCTAACTCCCTCAGCAATGCTGTCAACCATACTACCTCTGAAACTCCACTTGCCATGTTTCTATATTCAGCTTCTGCTGAACTCTTAGAAACTGTATTCTGCTTCTTTGATTTCCACGAGATTGGAGATTCTCCAAATTTGACTAGATATCCTGACACTGACTTTCTTGTGTTAGGACATGAGGCCCAGTCAGCATCACAAAAGACACTGATCTCACTTGAGTTTTGACTTCTCAACAAGATTCCCAGACCTGGTTCCCTTTTAATATACTTCACCACTCTTATAGCTGCATCCCAATGAGACCTTTTAGGCTGCTGCATGAACTGGCTGAGAGTTTTCACTAAGAATGCAATGTCTGGCCTGGACATGGTTAACTATAACAACTTTCCAATCAGCCTCTGATATTGGCCTACATCTTCCAGTTTGATATTATCTCCAATGCATACTTCCACTGATTGATCAGAATGCCTTTGGTAGATCTGCTGAACTCCATGCCAAGGAAGAACTTTAGATCACCTAAATATTTGATCTTGAAGGCTTGTTGCAAGAAGATTTTGGTGGCTTCAATCAGCTGCAAGTTGTTTTCTGTCACTAGCATATCATCAACATATATTAGTATTATCATTATATCTGCTCCTTTCTTCTTGATGAATAAGGAATGATCTAGGTTACTCTGCTTAAAATCAGCCTGTAGCAATGCCTTTGTTAGTTTTAAGTTCCATTGTCTGCTTGCTTGTTTCAATCTATAGAGAGATTTTACAAGTCTACACACCAATCTATACTCCCCCTCACTTGTAAAACCTTGTGGCAGATGCATGTACACTTCATCATGTAGATCTTCTTGCAAGAAGGAATTGTAGACATCTAGTTATTAGACTGTCCAATTATGCATGGCTACTAAGAAAAGAACAGTTCTGACAGTGGTGATCTTCATTATAGGAGAAAAGGTCTCATTGTAATCAAAACCTTCTCTTTGATTGTATCCTTTGGCTACTAGTCTTGCTTTGAACCTCTCCACATCTCCATTAGCCTTAAGCTTGACTTTGTACACCAATTTACAGCCTATAACTGTCTTTTCTTGAGGTAGATGAACTAATTCCCAGGTGTTGTTGTCTTGCAGAGCTTGAATCTCAGTTTTCATGGCTTCTACCCATCTAGGGTCCTTAGAAACTTCCTAAAAAGTGGTAGGCTCAACAATTGTAGAGAACATTCCCATGTATGTCTGGTAGGAAGGTGATAGCTTAGTATAAGTGACATGATTGTGTATGGGATATAAGGTAGTGTTCCCTGACTTCCTTGTGGTCACATAATCTGTCAATCAGACTGGCTCTTTTGACTCCCTATGTGACCTTCTTAAGGTATCATGATGTGTCTGTCCTCCATGATGATTATGAAGAGATGTAGATGGTACTTCTAAAAGTATGCCCACTGAGTCAGGGACTATAGGTGAAGAACTAATAGTGGTTGTGTGATATTGAATTTCAGAAGGCATTGTGTTGTACAGGTCTGGTTCAAAGTTGTCCGAGGGCTGTGCACTATCATCTGTAGGATTATCTTGAACATGTAGCTGCTCAGTAATTGGAACACCAAGCTCATCTGCATTTGTACCTTCAAGACTAAAAACATCGGTAATAACATGCTTGACTTGGTTCCTAAGATCACCAGTTGTATCTTGAAAAGGAAATGTGGATTCCTTGAACACCATATCTCTGTTGACAAAGAATCTATCCCTATCCAAGTCATATAGGATATCCTTTAGTAATACCAAAATATCCCATAAAAATAGCTCTAACTACTCTACTAGAAAACTTATCAGTTCTAGGTAGCACACTTGCAAAACAAAGATAGCCTAATATTTTCAAGTGAGAAACTGATGGTTTCCTATTAAAGAACACCTCATATGGGGACTTACCATCAAGTGACTGTGATGGTAACCTGTTAATAACATATGAGCTGCTAAAATACAGTGTCCCCGGAATTTCATAAGGATATGCCCTTGAAATTTGAATGCCCTTGCAATCAAGCAAATGTCTATGCTTTCTCTCTACTACACCATTTTGTTGTGGTATATAAACACATGTTTTCTGATGAACTATCCCATGGATGTGCATAACTCCTACATAGCTGAGTTTACAAACTCTCCACCATTGTCAATTCTAATTGTTTGCACTTTTTCATTGAACTGTGTTTGTATCAGCTTAAGAAATGACTTAAAAACAATCATGACATCACTTTTAAATTGCAAGAGAAAAATTCAAATCACACGAGAGTAATCATCTACAATTGTGAGAAAGAACTTATTACCATCAAAAGTGGACACATTGTAAGGTCTCCACACATCTAAATGTAATAGCTGAAAACATTAGTAGTTCTAGTACTACTTAATGAAAAAGACTGTCTCACATGCCTAGCCATTGGACATACATCACATCTATCTATTACAGATTTGCAATCCTCCAGCTTACATCCCAGAATCTCTTTCAAGGATCCCCAAGATGCATGTCCTAATCTTTTATGCCATAGAGTTATGTTCTCCTTTATTGTCTGTACATTTAACCCTTTGACTGTTGGTATGCTTTTATCAGTATTTAAGCAAGCTCTTGGAACTAGTAGGTAGAGCCCATCCTTCTCTTTACCAATCCTCCTCATTTTCCAACTTGAGAGGTCCTGGAATAGGAAAAACCGGGATAGAAAGAGACAAAATAATGTAAGTCCCTTGTTATCTTTGACACTGAAAGAAGATTGTATGCAAACTCTGGGACATACAATACATCCTGCATCTCCCCTGTTTATGTGATCTTACAGTTTCCAACATGTGACACAATAGTACAGTCTCCATTAGGTAAGTGAACTCTCTTGTCTCTAGTGGGGCTAACATTTTAAATATTTGTACATCCCTAAATCAGCTACCATATGGTTAGTTGCTCCTGTATTAACTATCCAGTTTTCTTTTGACACCTTAGCCATAAAAGAATAGGTTGTACCTGCCATATTTGCCATTACATCCTTGGGGTTATCTTTGTTGAGTAACTTCATAATCTGGTCATATTGATCAGCTGTAAGTTGAGGTGCCCTCTGCCGGCCAGTCTCTTTCCTTCATTGCTTCTGGTATATCTCCTTCTCTATCATCCATACCTGCAAGATTGGGATTAAGATTTCTACCTGTACATTATATGCACCTTTCTTCTTGTTTTTGAAGTCTTGAGGATAGCCAATTATCTTGTAGCATCCTTCCTTTGTATGACCCTTCATATGACAGAAATCACATTGTACATTCCAGTTCCTCTTTGGCCTTTGATAATTCTAGTGATTACCTCTTTTGCCAGCTAGTAATGTAGTTAAGTCAATTCCTTCACCCACAGTAGAAGCATTAGTCACTGATCTTTGACTTTCTCTTTCAATAAACATTGCATATGATTTATTGATGCTAGGTGTTGGGCTAGTCATGAGGATTTGACTACGAGCCTGTTCATAATTGTCATTCAAACACATTAGAAACTTCAGCACTTTTTGTTTTTTCATAAACTCGATGAAACTCTTTGATCTAGCACAGTCATATGGCGGAGGAACCATGCTATCAAATTCGTCCCACAAATTTTTAAGTTTAGAAAAATAAACTGAGACACTGTCTGTTCCTTGAGTTATCATCGCTATGGCCTTCTACAACTGATAAAATCGTGATGTGTTTACCTTATCAAATCGTTCTTTTAGATCTTCCCACACCTTTCTCGCATCCCTCACATATAGAATTTCAGTAATCAATTCCTTTGAAACTAAACTCATAATCCACCCTAGGACAATAACATTACATCTTTCCCATTGATGACCTAGTCCTGTAGCAAAATCTCCTTTCTTCAGAGTACCGTCGATTAGACCTAGCTTGTTCTTTCCTAACAGCTGGATCTCCATCGCACGACTCCAGGTGGAGTAATTTTCTGAACCAATCAACTGGATTGAGATGATCGGAGCTCCGGTAGTGTCCGATGGGTGAAGAAACAGAGGATGGTTGTGGTCTAGATCTGTCTTTTCCGCCATTGTTGAATCTCACTCTCAGTTGTAATTAACAATTGAGATTATTGCAAATTTAACAGGATCTTCTGATTCAATTCGCAATCGCGAGTGCGCTCATGAAGAAATCACACAATCCAATATGAAACCCTATAGAGCAGAATTGAGAGAGAAGAGAAAGAAAAGCTCAGCTTTGTATTTCAGTAGAAAATGAAAATAGAGTCTTATTGTTACATTCCCCAACTAACTAGTTATATACACATGTCCTTCTAACCGCCTAACTAATACACACGTGTACACTCATGTGTGCTAATTAACTAATTACATTAATAATAATCTTCCCCTGCATATTAATATTAACAGCCAACTAACCCATCACTAACAGCTCATGTAATCCCCATTTCATCATCAGCAACACCGACTTGATCTCATATTGAGCCAAATCGTTACCTTTCATAGCCGTGGTGTAGGTTGTGATGTGCTCCTATAGATCTGAGGTCCCATCGTACTTTGGTATGTCCGGCATTTTGAACCTCTTTGAAATTAACTCTGATGTTGTGCTCAGCTTAAATGGAAATTGCGTGTATTTTTTCGAATCTGGGCCTTTTAGAATTGGCGGTACGCCTGGAATCTGATCCATTCGTTTGTTTATTTCCCCCATAAACCTCATGAGCTCGGTTTTGAAGGGGCCATTTCCGTTGTCATTCCCAGATCCGCTACCGTTTCCCCTGGCATCGACGAAACCGACTTCACGCCTTGGAGTGTTATTGTCGACCCTCTGAGCCATTTGATTTGCAAGAACGCTGGGAGGAACTAGGTCCCTTCCGTTTGCATTATTGGAAGCACCTGACAACGCTTGTTTTTAACTCTGGCATTACCCACTCCTGCCTTGAGAGGTGACTCATGATTGCTTTCTGCTGTTCTCTTAAGATTTTCACTATTTGCACGACATGTTCCTCCTGCGCATCATCGGAAGTTGGCTCCCGAACATGCCGGGGGTACTGCCCTTCACGAACCGGAGTTGTTTCGTCTCTTTCGTTACGGGTGTCGCTGATTGAGTCATCATGTTGAGGCAAATATTTGTGTCCCTCAATGTTCTGTGTGATGTTGATATCATTAGCTACCATATCTGATTTCTTATCAAGGAAAAAATCAAAAAAATTAGTGATAAACGAATGAATCAAAGCAATTATGCAACTGTCTAAGCCCCACAGTAGGCGCCAAACTGTTTACCCGTAAAATGATACAGTTAAATTTGTTACGTGATTTATAGGCAAGCGAACTAATTTGATTCAAAAATGAAATTAAAAATAAGATTTAGCAATTGAATGAAGAAGATGACAAGCCTGACTCCGAGCACAATGTCTCCGAGAACAAAAGTGAAAGCAATGATAAAGAACAAGTAAAGTTGTTTAATTGAGAGCAAAAGTAAAATACAGCTTATGTTTGCAAAGAATTTCGTATCGTACAATGGCTACTGAGCTCACTATTTATAGCTTTGTCTAGGGAAACAAGATCAAAGGATCAAGCTCCTCTTAAATGATAATAAAAGAATCATTGGTGAGCATGTAACGACAGCCGTGAATGCAAATATCCTCTGCAACGGTCGCTCATTTAATGTTAGAAAATATTCCCTCATTGAATACTACCTGATGGCAAATACTTGGTCTTCTCCCGTTAACCATGCCCCTTTTGGGATTTACCCAATGTCGATTGAATTTGTTGTATCCGGTATTGGTCGTTACTTGCCTTGACTTTTACCTATCTTTGGTTCCATGTGTTGTGCTACCATTTGATCATCTGTTACAAACCAATTTTGCCCCATACAATTAGTCTTAATTAAATATTACACTTTTATAAACAAAAAAGTGAAGATGCTAGAATAAATAGAATCTACATAGAATAGAACAATTAATTGCTAGGGAAATCAAGAATATGTAATGTGGTCAAATGGATTTGTTGAATTAGGCATTTGGAGACCAAATACACTATAATCTTAACTTAAGATATAAAAGATCAGATTTTTATAATTTTCTAACATATTGGACGTTACACGATAACGATATATTATATTTGTTTAGTGTAATATTTTATTAGCTATTAATCAATTCCAAATCGCCTTATTATGCGGGTGTTAGAGTGTAATCTGCAGGAGATTATTTTCTTTGGCATTTACCCAGTAGACTATTGATGTTATACACGGACAAAATCATTCGAGATTTTTGAAGCTTTAAAGATATGATTTTACAGAAAATGTGCGATTATTAGAGCAAAAGGAAATCAAAATAAGATTTTCTTATTTATTTATTGTAAACTTCATATATTTTGAAACAAGGTTAGAGTGGAAAAAATAAATTTTTGTGTGAGTAAAACGATGCACATTTGAGGAATTCTTTATAGGAGATTATAAATCAAATCGAATGAAATAATTTTGATTCGAGGAAAATCACAACTAAAGATGCTAATGATTTGGTACTTCAACCTGCTCATTTAATTTAATCTGGCATAAGAAATAATATTAAACGTCACTGAGTAACTTCTTTATTGGAGAAAATTAAAAAGAAAATAAAACAATTAGTGGAAATTAAGTGGAAAAGTGAACTCTATACATGAATTTTCATGGTTGTGATGGTTAGGACATTTTGGTAAAAGTAATTGCTTAGCTATAGTGTCTATGGATCTGAAATGAACTTCATAACAAGTGAGATTAGAAATCTGAAAATTAAGACAAATAATACTATAAGTTGATAACAAGTTAAAACTAAAAATCATGTTTATTTTCAAGGAATTTATAAACAATTTAGACAAATGAGCAATCAATCGTACAACCAGTCCATTTTCAAGGAATTTATATAACTCAACCGCAAACTCAATCACTTAAACTAAAAATAACATATGTCCGAAACTTGTATAGTAAATGAATAATCTTATATAATTAATGTATACTCTATGTAATACCGATTACAAATAGTAAAGAGTATACCCAGCCGGCTATAAAGATCCCTATGATTTATCAAATGTGGAATCCTGAAAAAATTACAAAAATGTGAACAAGTTAGGGACTCTTGTGATCAATGGGACTATGAAATTGGCAATAAGTTCAATTGTTTCAATAATCTTGCAAACTTACATAATTTGCTCAAGACTCTTACAGTTAAATATTGTGGTAATTCTCATCATTCAAGTTGCTTTTGCATCACAAATAATGCTATACAATATTTATGAAAGACAGTTTTTATTAGTCAAAATTGAAAATTAGGCCATAAAAGCTGGTAAAAATAGCATGGTATAGCCAGTTTTCGACTGGTCATTCAAAAATAACCAGCATTTACCAAGTCAATGAAAAATAGCCATTATTTTGCTGCAACAGAGACCGGTCCAACATAATATACTGGAGTTCGGTGCACCTGTGTATTAACTCCAGCATATTATGCTGGACCGGTATACTTTGCTGGCTCCAGCATAATATACTGGAGACTGGAGCACCAGTGCTCCAAACTCCAATATATTATGCTGGACAGATATACTTGCTGGAACTCCAGTATATTATGCTGGAGTTCGAGCATACTTATCCTGGAGTCCAGTATAATATGCTGGAGTTCAAGTATACTTATGCTGGAACTCCAGCATGGAACTCCAGCATAATATACTGGCGTATTTTCCGGGTTTTGAACAATGTTTTCGCTCAGATTTATCTTTAGTGGCTAAATTTCGATTACTTTTAAAACTGGCTATTTTTGAACGACCAGTTGTAAATCTAGCTATTTTTGAATTTCTCCCTTAAAGCTAGTATAGTTTATCCTAAAAATGAAATAAGAAACGTCGAAACACTATAAACATTTAAATAGCTCATTTTTTTGCAACCAACACTCACACAATTATGTGATTTCCAGAAATCTGTAGTCTATTATAAGGAAATCAAATTTGACAAAATTAGTAAACCAGCAACATATATAATCACAGATTATGCAGAGTAAAATAGCTTCCCATTTACAAAGCATATTCAATCCCTATATAAATGTTTTCCTTTGCTTTTAGCCTCTCATTTCCTATCAGTTAAATCTTAGTTTTCTAAACATACTTCCATCCTCTGCCTGTCCCTGTATTCTAGAAACTATACACAATTTTTTCAGAGGTTAAAACAACCAGTAAAATTCAGATTATAACACGAAGAAAATCAATACACAACTCGGATCAGCATGGTTAATCGTACAAACCCTCGTGCTCCCAAATATCAGCAAGAAAGTCGACCATGTCCTATAAAGAAACAACCATTTGGAAAAAGTTAATCCGAGCCTTCCCTCGAAATGGAAGAGAAAAGATATCCACAAAAGTTCCAGAGAAGTGACACTCACCGAGAGAGGAATTGGTTGAGGAAAACGCTTGTTAGTCCCAAATAAGCTTTCATAAGAAACATTCCAACTACAGTGACACAGAACAAGCACAATTAGCCGATAAAACTAGACAAACTTAAAATCATGTGAAAGAAACAGATTCAAAATCTGGAGTTGTAAAAATGATAGCGTCTATTGGAAAAGTCTAGCAGCGCATTCAACCATGTCTAATCGTGAAGTTAATTATCTCCGAAAATCTTCTAGTGACATTATACCACTTTAATAAAATCCTAAAGTTTGATTCCCTGAGAAACATGAAGATGAGCAAAGGTTCTCACTTTAACATGGGTTCTTCAACTATTCGGTTCTCGGGCTTTTTACTTGCTAGCCACTGAAGTCTGGACTGGTTCCAAAGAAGATAGCCTGCAATCAGCAGACTGTCAAAATAGCAAACACAACTTAAAAAGTCCCTATTCATGCAAGGTGGAAACAGACTCGAACGTGGATGAAAATGGCTAGTGTTTGCTTTTTTTTTTTCTTTTTCCTGGTAACCATGGTGTCTGGGCCGCTTGCGCGCACCTCGACTAATTCCATGGCAACAACAGTAATAGGTACCAGGTAACTCCGAAAACGGCTAGTTTTGTAATATATATTATAAAGAAAGAAAAGGAAAATCTAGCCATTGCAATGAACTTGCCCTGATTTACGAATTCATTATTGTTGCTAGCACTGCCAGTGCCACCGTGTTGAGCGAGGCTATTTGAGATACTGATGGAAGACATGCTCCTTTGAGATTGAACGGTACTGTTCTCCATCTCACATGTACTTGTGCTCCAAAAATCATCTGATATACTCGGTTTTCTCACCAACTTTCCTTGAATTCTCAGTCCTTTAGATGGTTCATCCACAGCAATAATTGGATGAGATTTGGAACAGCAACCAAAACAACCTCTGCTCTGTTCAAATTCAGGTTTATTTGCATATACAACCATATGGTGACAAGAAGAAAAATGTTTTGACGCCACAATAACTATGGTGACAAGAAGAAAAATGTTTAGAGGACACTTGAACTATCAAACAAGCACACAGAGTCCCAGATTAACAATATATACATGCAAACTATCAAAACAAGAAAANTACAGCAGTTTGAAGAGATGAAATGTCTGATTTAAATTCAAATTAGTTACCGGTGAAGTGAAAGGGCAAAAGGTCATGTGGCGAATTTTCTCACAGTAGGATATTTGTCCTTTCTTTATTGGAGTAGGGTGGGAAAGGTGTAAAATAAGCATTAGTAGATTCTGTTTTATTAGAAGACACACTTACTTCAAAACTCAACGATGAATTGATAACCTTCACAAATTCATAGAACTGTCAAGTGTGTCATTCCTCCAGTTTCGTTGCATGTCCAAAATACAACTTACCAGCTCCTTTTTTATGCCCCAAAGAAATGGAAAGAATGGGAAGAGGGGAAATCTCCACACTGTATGTTCTCAAAGCAGTCCGCTGGTAGCTCCATATTAACAACAATCGACATCCAAATTGTGAAGAAAAAAAATCTAAGCATCCGACTCATTATCTAAACACTACCAATGGAGGCTGGAGTAGCTCATAACCTAGGAAAACCTTTTTGAAACCCTTATACAACCGATATGGGACATGTTCTCTAAAACTCTCCCGTGCATAACCTGTAGACATTTTCTTTTCACTTTTTTCTCTCTTCCACTTTTGTTTCTTCTTTCCTTTTCCTTTTTTCCTTATTTGGAGAAGACTGGAATGGCTTAAGTCAGCATGGAGCAGAGAGAAGGCTCAATAGGCTAGGAGTGTGCCTGCAAATGGCTCGATGGACTGAATATGTAGAGAGGCACAGGTCCATAGAATAGGCAGAGAGAAGACTAGTGAAAACTAAAGTTCACTTCTGAAACCATATAAAAGAATTTGAGCATCAAATCCAAAAAAAGTTAGAACTATGGGTGCAATAGCCCATATAGACTATATTTTGAAATCCTTAGACAACCGATATGGACAAGTTAACACTAATGATCAATGAAGTTTTCGCTCATTTTGAGTTCAGCCTTGTTAAGAAAAACAACTCATAGAAATAAAATTTCACTGGCAATAACAAGAATAAAATGGACCACCAAGATACGGTAAGCAACGAGAATAGAAAAAGTAATACACCAGGATTTTAACGTGGAAAACCCTCCTCAATAAGGAAAAAACTCACGGCCCAAGCTCAGGGGCAAATCTAGAATACATTCACGGGTTTGGCAGAACCCAATAGTTTTAGCACAGGTTGTGTTTGTGTTAAGAAATTCACTTAATAATATGCATATGTATAAATAATTTATCTTAAATTCATTAAGTGATCTTGTCCTAGAATCCATTACTTATAAGCTTAAAATCCTAGATCTGCTTTTGCCTAAGGGGTGCAAAATAATATCGATATAGTAAGAAAATCTACACTTGATAGTCTCGAGTAAAATACTCGAAAGACCACTACATACTCTAACGAAACAACTCTATTTTGTACACCCCTAAAAATGATACCACTCACTCTCTATTTTATTATATGCGAATTGCTATCTTCTCTTATTTTTGTATTCTATTGTGTGTGTTGAAGTGAGAGAAATGCCTCTATTTATAACAACACGAGCTATGAGCTCCAAGCACAAAAATACAAAAAGAGAGGAGAAATTACCAAAAATTTCTCTTCCACACACTTCATATTGTTTTGGCACATGGCGATTTAACAAGTAGGGATAGATCCCACAAATCTCTCCCTCCAGATTTATTCACCTAAAGGAGGTAATACCGGACTTATAATTTGAGCGCATGCCGACAAGGTTTTTGCACAACTCAAACTTGTTTCTTGGTACCATCTTGGTCAACGTACTTAAAGGATTCTCACATGAAAAGATCTTCAAGAAATGCTCTGCCTTTTGCCGAATTTAATGAAATCTTAAGTAATGTGTTTAGTCCTTGCATGTACATGGAGTTCTTGCTCAAGTCTATTACACTTAGAGCGTCACTCCTTCTAATGCAAGTCATTTCTTGAAGAACCCTTTGAGCCATATCATTTTAGAGTGAGCGACACTTATGCAAATTCAACTGCCATGATATAGCTCTTCCTAAGAGAGTAAACAAATATCCATTAGTGGATTTTCTATTATCAGGATCACCTGTCATATCAGTATTTGTATACCCCTTCTAAATTGGATCAGATCTTAAAAAACACAAGTAGTTCTGAGGTACCTCTAAAATGCTGAGTATCCACTTAACTATTTCCTAGTGTTCTTTTCTGGGATTTTAAAGAAAGCTGCTCATCAACGATTGCATGTGCAATGTCGGATCTGGTGCTTACTATTTCATATATCAAACTCCTAACAATAGAGAATAAGGAACTTTGGCGTTGCTGTCTTTCTCCTTTGTTGTGGGACATATCTTCTTGCTCAACTTCATATAACCAACAAAAGGTGTGCTGACTGGCTTAGCACTCTTCATGTTGAAGCATTTTAATACACACTCAATGTACTTGTCCTGGGACAACCACAACTTTCTACTCGTTCTGTACTTCTATCTCGACTAATCTGCATTCCTAGAATGTATTATGTTGTACTCTAAGTCTTTCATGTTCAATGACTTGGATAAGTCTCCCTTCAACTTGGCTATTAGATTTTTATCATGTCTTACAATCAACTTATTATCCACATATAACAAGATAAAATTGTTATCAAAATATCTTTAGAAGTATATATATTTGACTTTCATGAATGAATCAAATTTCTTGTACCACTACCCTGGTGCATGTTTCAACCCATAGACTCTTCTTCAATTTGCACATCATGTGTTCCACCATTTTGCTTTAAATTCTTCCGACTGCTCTATATAGAGGGTATTTGCATTGGCTTTTAAGCAGGTAAAATCAGCTTTTAAGTTCTTTTTAACTTTTGCGGTGTTTGGCAAAGTCAAAAAGTACTTAGAATAAGTTAAAAACTGCTTAAAATAAGCCAAAAGCAGTAAGTTGGGCAACCCCAACTTATTACTTTTTGGCTTAAAAGCTATTTTTGCTGAAAAGCCACTTTTTTTAAGCCAATCCAAATGGGCTCAAGATTTTGACTAGATGCTAAGCTCAAAATAGTTCGTATAGACAGCTTGCTACTTCTACCTTTCTAAACAAATCGCTATTGCGATCTTTCGTGAGTTTAAAGACTACTTTGGACGTTTTTCCTTTGGAAGTTCAACCAACTCGTGCAATTTCTACAGAGATTCCATAATCTTCTTGCATAACTTTCATCCACTAATGAGAGAGCATCTCCTCAAGAATTTCTAGCTTCACATCATCACTAACGAGGACACAATTTAAGAAAGAATACATCGACGATTCTACTATTTGCCTTTCTGATCACTTCAATGGTCGTTGTATTTCACAAGTAGGGTGAGATCTTCCTGGAGGGCAGATTTATGAAATCCATCTCTAGCTTATTGAAAAGCCATGTGTCAAAAAACACTTGATGAAATTCATCCTTGGAGGCCAAGAATGAAATGTGTGGAGAATTTTTGGCAACTTCTCCCGTGGTTGGAGCCTATAGCTCCTATTGTTATAAATAGAAATATTTCTCTAATTTCAACACACAAAAATAAAAAAAGGAAGCAAAAGCTGAGAGCAATTCACATTCACAAACAATAGAAAAAAGTAATTTGTGAGAAAAAAATATAGTGTGTAAGCGATATCATCGCGAGGTGTGTAGATCAAAAGAAAGTTGTTTCTTTTGAGTATAGTGGTCTGTTGAGTATTTTGCCCGATACTACCAAGTGTAAACTTCTTTATTATACTGATACGATTTTGCTCCTCTTAGGATGTGAGTTTTTACATTATTTGGAAGTGTTCTCCAGTCTCCACGATAAAATCGGTGTCTTTGTTACTCTCTTTTTTCTTGTCGATTACTATGTCTTGGTGCTCTAACTTTTGCTCATGTTATTCACCGTATATATTTTTTATAGGTTATTTTTCACAACAAGGCTGATGTTACAATGAGCATAAACTTCATTGGTCATTAATGTAAGAGAACTTGTCCGATGTTGGCATATTTGGGTCAATTAAAAATGACTTTAAATTTTCAATTCTATGGAGCAATCGATGATGGATTAATAACTTCACAAAATGATAGTACATAATACAAGTATGTTCTTCCACCAACTTTGTTACATGTCCTAGATACAACTTATCGGCTCCTTTCTAAAACCCAATGGGCAGAGCTAGAAATGGGAAGAGGGGTATCACCAGATCATATGTTCTCTAATTTGCCCATAGGTAGCTCCACATTTACAAGAATCAACATTCTAGTTGTGAAAGAATCCAAGTATCCAATCCAAAATCTATACAAGTGGAGTAGCCAAGGACCTTATACACCCGAAACCTTATACAACTGATGTGGGAAAGATCCACTATACCCTCCTGTACGTGTAACCAGTTCTTGGGTTTGCACGGGACTTAAGACCTTTTTTACTCTTTTTTTAAAAATTTTTTGTCTCTTTCTTTTCTTGTTTCTTTTCTTTTTATTTTATTTTTATGACTAGACGAAAGTGGAAGTCAAAGTAGAGAGAAATGGCTCAATAGACAAAGAAGTGTACCTATTAATAGCTCGATGGACCGAATTAAGAGATGTCAAATCAGTAGAATAGGTAAAGAAAAGACAATAGTTTAAACAAGTTTACCAAAGTTTGATTTTGATACTATTTGAATGAATCTGAGCATCCAAACCAACACCTTACGACTATGAGTGGAGTAGTCCAAAACCTTATAAGTTTCTTTACAAACCCTTAGGCAACTGATAGTTTGATAGGGGACATGTTCTCTTACGCTAATGATCAACGAAGCCTGCTCATTATGGCATCAGTTTAAGGCTCCACTGTTATGACTTTCTATCCTCCCTTTATCACCTATTATATGACTCCGTTCACATAGGAAAGGACAACTAGGAGCAATCTTTAACACAATTTAGCTAAACCTTTTTTCAGAATAGAGTTTAAATGTGCAAAACAATACAAACGTAATAAGATAGTAACGTATTATATAAGTTTAGATACTTGGCGATTCTTTTTTCCTTTATTAAAAAAGATTGGGATGCACTTAAAACAAGTTGGTAAGATAATTGGGGATGAAGAGTGAGCGCTCCCTTATAGCAGCCATTCAAAATCATGTTACAAACATCCACCACCGATGACAAAATCTTCAAGATAAAGTATGTCGCAAGAATACTGCAGTTGTCAGATTTAATTTCAGCAATATTCATAAGCTACTCCTAAGTCCTTAAAAACTCTCCCCTTTCCGCACCTATCTCCTCCCCATCCCCTTTTTCCCAAATCACATATGAAAGGCTCTCTTTAACTTTGGAGGCTCATGCATCAGCCTCATCACATACAAAAGTAACAAGCACTAAGAGTCTAAGACAGTGACTGGTAGGAGGTGAATTGAAGGAGGAACGAGGAAGGGCTATTTCCTTTGTTTGCTTAGTAGTACGAGGAATGTGAGATTACTGAAACAGTATGCTTCCCTTCAACATAAGTTTTTCCGATCCCTCCAGAATTTGAAGGAAAGAAGAAAATAAATCTTGTACTTTGTTTTTTAGCTTTATCAAACAACCAGAGGAAAAGGCTAAATACTCCTGAAGTGCAAGTAAATTGGAAGGTTCACCTCCTCCCTCCTTCTTTCCCTTTGTCCCCCTTACAGGAAGAAAACAAAAGGTAAATACTAACAAAATATACACTCAATCACTTTCTAATCCAACATAACCCCTTCCAAACCAGCTCCAAGAATGCCAGTAAATATACGCTCGATCGCTTTCTCGTCCAACATAACCCCTTCCAAACTAGCTCTAAGCATTGGTTCCCAAGGAAATTATACATATTTAAAGCAATAGGAGAACATAAGCAAGTTCCAAACAGAACATATGAAAAGATATTCATCATCCCATGTCAAAAACGATATCTACTTTGGTAATTTTATATGCCATTTTTTAAATTCACAACTAAGATGAGGTACATAAAGAAGCGCCTATGGGATCGTTCCAACTATTGATTGTATAAAGCCACTGAAATTACAATATCCTCCCCAAACTTTGTCAAAGATTTTTCGAATTTGTTTTCCGAGCTATGTTGCTCGGACTCTCCGAAAATGTCACCGGGTGCATGTCGGATCCTCAAGACGTAGCGTATTTTTGGAGGATCCGACACGGTTGCGGTAGCACTTTGGAAAGCCCGTGCAACATAGTTTCCGAGTTTCCTGCAATTCGGACTTTGTGGAGAAGCTCGGTTTCAGTAGTTAAGACTTGAATGTTTTCATAAAACAAAGATAGGATTAGCCTTTTGGTAGATGAACTTTACTTTAACGACAACTCTTTAGCCAATTTGGAAGATCAAACACCCATAAAGAGAAACTTAAGTTTCTTATTCAGTTTCCTCCATCTAAAGAGAGAAAAGTTCTAAACCTTCTCATTCTTCCTCTCGCATAAGCAAAAACCATTCTCCAATTCTTTTTTTTTCCTTTTCTCTTTTTATTTTGGGTGTCTTATTGAGTAGCTAAAATATAGAAACAGCCATTAAATGATTTCAAACAGGTAAAAGGATCACAATCTTCAGAAAAAGTCAATGATAGCAAATAATGTTTCAACAAACAACACATAATCACTTAACAGCCTGAATTCACCAGATTTTGAAGACAAAACAGAAAGTAAACTAAACTAAGAATAAACAAGAAACAAAAATTGATAATGAAGAATCTGAATACATACCCCATGCAAGCTAGAAAGTGACTGATCCAAGCACTGAAAGAAGTGTAAATCATCATATGTCTAAACATACAAGAATTATCCAATTGTTCTTCAAATTTCCCAAATGAACCAGATCACTAAAACCCAAGCATAAAAATCCAATCTTTTTCTGCACCCAAAAAAAAAAAAAACCTTTTTCAGTTTCAAGAATCAGATTAATAACAAAAAAAAAAAAAAACTTTTTCCTTACCTTAGAGCAACCATAATATACATATGGATAATAAATGCAACACAGTAATTTATTATTAAAGATATAATTGGTAATGAAACTGAATTCCAAAAGGGTGTTTCTATACCTGGAAGAAACTGAGACTGGGGGCGCCCCTCTCTCTCTCACACACACACAGAGAGTTTCTCTCTCTGCTTTATCTGTGGGTTTGATATTTCAATAGTGGACTAGTAAGTGAGGTGTCCTAGTTGCTAATAATTAGGCGTCTCATGTCTCTGAGGTTAAAATTTAAATTATCTTTATAATGCTGAATGGTATAATTCAGTGATTAATAAAATAAGTGTAGAATTATGAGATTTCAAGTTTTATTAAAAATATAAAAAAAAATTAATCTGCTTTAAACTTTGAGTGAAAATAATAGAAAACAAATTGCCCAAACAGAATCATTTATTATCTTTATCTTTATGCAATTATCATGTGTGCTTTGTGGTAAAGTGGTATTAATACGATTTGAAGAATCAAGAATCTGATGGGATGGGCCACGTGAATGTGATGGTTAACTAAATGGAGGGGAGAAATTTAAAAATAGCACAGTTTCAAAAGTAATCAAAATTTAGTCACTTTTTATGTAAAAATAAATCTGAGTGAAAATATTATTCAAAACCCGAAAAATACGTCCGTATATTATACTGGAGTTCCAGCATAAGTATGCTTGAACTCCAGCATATTATACGGAAGTTCCAGGATAATTATGCTGGAACTCCAGCATAATATGTTGGAGTTCCAACATAAGTACACTAGAACTCCAGCATAATATACTGGAGTTCCAGCAAGTATAAATGTCCAGTACAATATACTGGAGTTTGGAGCACCGGTGCTCCAGTCTCCCGTATATTATACAGGAGTTAGCAAAGTATATCGGTCCAGCATAATATGCTGGAGTTCGTACACAGATGCACCGAAATCCAGTATATTATGCGGGACCGGTCTTTGTTGCAGCAAAATAGTGGCTATTTTTTATTAACTTCGTAAACGGTGGCTATTTTTGAATGATCAGTCCGAAAACTGACTATACCTTGCTATTTTGACGAGTATTCAGTAATAATAGTTGATTGATTCTTTGTGGATAATACTATTTGTTTATTCTATAGCACTATGAGTTTGGGAATATATGGATATTGTTGAATTTCATTTTTTATTTTTTTTATTTTTTTAATAATTATGATGTCCGAATTAGCTTGCGTGCACATATTAATTTTACGAGATACACCTGCCTCTCAACGAGATACGGAATAATTCTATCTAAAAAACTTGGACGGATGGAAAGAAATCATATACTAATACTTCTACTTCCATAGAATTTGAACTTGAAATCACATTTTTTTAACCGACCTCATTAATTATTTGCTTACACTCTTGGGTGGATGTACTGTTAGATTTCATTATAGACCTAGGATAAATAAATGAACTAGAAAATTTGCTCCTTACTAACATCCTTAAATTTTAAAAATGTACATTTCATATAATTGGTATTATAGTAGAGCGATGTTCATTCCAGAGCTAATGTTACATGTTAATAAGAGCGTATTACAGACTTAAAACAAGTAAATAAAAATTAACAGTACTCGAACAGTTAAAAATTATAGATGTAACATTTCATACTTCAACCCAGTTTTATTTTTCTATTTCATTTTTTCTTTTTGGTTGTGTATTTTCTGGGGGGAGGCTTTTTCTATTTCCTTTTTGACTTTTTGGGAGTGAGGGTGGTTGGAAATTGATATGGACGACCTCGACCAAGAGAGACAAGAGAGGGTAATAATAACAAAACCAAAGTGATTTATGTAATTTATGAACATAAACTTGTTTCTACATTTTTTTGTCAAACATTACTGTACTGAAATTTCTTAATCTGATACAAAAGAATAGATCTCCATATTCATCCAAATTTCTCTCGTGTGAAACAAAAGGTTTGCGAGTCGTAGATAACAGCACTTGTACTATTACTTTTACTTTTACTTTGTAAATGATATTCTAACAGAAATAAATGACAATTTTCAAATGTATTTATTCACTAAGAAAAATCATTGAAGTTTTTGGGGATGAAAAAACCAGGGTAATGTGGCTTGTAGCACAGTACGTTAATCAAATCTCTCTCTATAGTGGTTAAGAAAGAGAGAAATGATACTAGTGTTCCCTTGTCTGGATTAGTTTGTGCAAATGCGTGAGTTATACTGAATACACAGTAAATTATATAGCACGATGAATAATCAACTTCGCAAAAATCGACCAAAACAAAACACGAACCATAGCGTAATATATAATTTCAAAGCGTACGACAATTGATTTATACATTATAAAACAATAATAAAATTTAATGGAGGATAATAGCTCCACCTCCGATTATGAGACCATCTAATTTTAAATAAGATAACACAAGCAATTTTGAAATAAAAAAAAGGTTACATTAAACCCCTTGACTGAGTTTTGAAAGGCATATGCATTCATTTAATGTGATTTTCTACCATTGAAATGTGACTGGAGAAACAGGGAGGTCTAGTAGAGATGTGAGGCGACTTGGACACAAAACAAAGCTGAAATGTAGTAATCAAAATAATTGACATCCAATAATTCACCTAATAAGGGCTACAATAATGTTGACACAGTTATTAAAAGTTCAGTTCAGATCCACTGACAAGCAAAAGTCCAACAAAATAAATATATAGGTTCTAATTGCACAAGAAAATAACTTCCATTTATTGGTTTCGCGGTCCAACACTGTAACATTGTGTCTGCGCTCCATCGAATAGCTCAAGCCCTAGCAACCTGCTTTGATGGATAATTCATCGACCTTTTTTTCTTTTTCTGATGGACCAATCAAATAAATGAAAGTGAACGAAGTTGAGTTTCCACGGGAAAAGAAAAGAAAATTGAAATTCATCTTCTTTTTTTCTTTTTCGATGGATAAATCACTCTCATGGTCAATCATAGTAGAAAGCAAGGGAAGAGGGAGATCTGCCTAGGTGATTAACAACAAGAATAGAAGGTACTAACACACTTATAGTTCATTGTAATTGTACTAGCACACATAACACATGTAACTTAAGGGTATGATGGGTTAAGAGGAAAAAACAGGAAGCAAAGCTGAGCAAAATTCAAGAACGCATCGATGTTTAGGAGTATCTGGGCGTTGCACTCTTTGTGATAAAATTTTACTGCTTACTGTTGAATAGAACGGAAACCAGACCCCTTTTCCACCAAGGTGTCACAGTTGGCTCGGTCTTCACAGGAACAAGAGAAGTCAGACCACTGCGGATACCCTCAGTTACTGAAGTATCCTGTGTGACCCTCGTCATTACAGGCCTGAAGAGGTATCAGTAAAAAGACTTAGTAGTCTGGCAAATCTTTTTACTTAAGCCTGTACATAGCATAGTATAGCGGACTATATATTAAAAGATGGTTGTGCAATGCAAAAAAGTAACAGCTTCATCCAACAGAAAACATGGATTCCATGCACCACACTTACATCCAGAAATTACACAACTACTCAAGATAGCAACAGAAATTCAAAAGGAGAATTCTTGCAGCGGAAGGATATCGTGGACAAAGTCTCCTCCTTTATTATTTTTTCATAAGTACACAAAAGCTCCTCTATCTAAGTGACTTCTATATCACACTAAAAAGTAGTTAAAGGTACAGTTAGTTTCTCTTATTCCGCATACTTAAGCGTAAACATCATGAGCTGTTTCAATATTTTTTTGGAGACTGGTAACAAGTGAGCTGTTTCAATATTTCAGAGGTTCTCTTTTTCTTCGAACAACTAGTGGCAGCAATGTTACAGTTTTTGGTTCATAAACACAGTGTAAACCATCAGCGTATACGATTTTTTTTAGAGCAACTCCATCCATTCGACTTTATTATTTAGCCTGTTTATTTTAATCCATCCCAAAATTATGACTTATTTTCGTAAATTGCAAAGGCTGCCCACTTTTAAAAAGTCAATATAATACTTAATTCAAGTCAACACCCAGCGGAAGTACAGAGACGATAACCAGAGTACAGGAGACTGTTCAAAAGCAAGGCCTTCTAATGTCAAATTCGCATCATAATCTCATAATTATTTTTGATTCTGGGAAATTGTGCAATGTGTGCCGCCCAGTGAGGCTCCCTTACGTGATCAGAAGTCTGCCCTGCCGCAACATAATGTGAGAATATGAAACGTTTCTAACCGAAAAACTCTAATTTTTAAAAGAAAATTGGAATGCTACCCCAGTGGCCAGCGCATCGCTGCATCCCTACTCAGCTAGGGCTTTGCCATCCCTCCTATCGATGGATAGAAAGTGTCCCATGTAAATGTTATCTCCTCTCCCTATCTATACTTGGCATATCTTTATTTTGGTTCATTCGAGACAAAATGAGATTCAAGTACTAGAAGATGTAGGTTTTTACCAAACAGCATTACTTTTATTTATTAAAAGAGAAAGTAAAGCCTTAGAATGCATACGTGGTTGATATGAGACCTTCGGAGGCAAATGTTGAATAGCCTTGTCTCTGTTTGTGCTTGGGATTAGCTGTGCATAGAACATATACGCGCCCACGTCGCTTGACTGTGCGACAGAACTCGCACATCTTCTTCACTGATGCCCTAACCTTCATGGCTGTTAATGATCCAAACCACAAATGATGAGAAAATTATCCATGAGCATGACTAGGAAATACTACAAGCATTCACCAAAGTAAAATTTTAACTTTTCATAAATCAGAGTCCGCAAAACAACGAAAGGAACTATAAGCTTGGTTAGCACAAAGTTTAGCTTGCTTTCTGCCTAAATTACAATGTCCACAACTGCCAAAATTCACATGGGCCATTTTCATTACAGGTCAAGCTAAGGAACCATGCCATCCAATGATGGATTTCAGGAATGAAAGTCCATATATAGATCTTAATAATGAATTTATCAAGTCCTAAAATCAAAATCCTTGAGAATCTTCATGTTTCAATCCTCAAGCAAATAGTTATTTCTAAATTCTTAAAAAGAAAATGAAGAGTAAATTAGGGCACAAGTTGAAGGAGATAACAGTACCAAATATTCAACCGAAATAGTCAAAAGCGAAAAGCGCAGGAAACTAAACTCTGTTCGGGCTTTAAACGCAAGGTGAAATTAGAATGTGGACTTTAACACAGAAATGCACTAATGAAGGATATGTGTTTGTGTGAGCGGACAATGCAAGAAAAAAAAATTCTACAAAGACAAATAATACTACTTGCACAAAAGAATTGAACTAACTAAAATTATGCTAAACATTTGAAGTAAAAATCGCGTCAATAAAGTTTAAAAATCATTTTTTAAATTTCTAATTTGGAAAAAAGGATGCAGTTTTATTCTCAAGAGCTAGTTTTCAATACGAAATTTAAATTTATTATTCCTAATCACTAAAAAATGGACTCGTAGCGTTTCTTAGCAAATAGTATATCAGATTACCAACAATATTATTTGTTTACTACTGCTCCTCTAAAGATAGAGCCCATGAGTGATGCGCCCCATGCCTTAGCAGCTCACTGCCTATAGCAAAGTGCCACTTAAGCGAGGCGAAGCACAGAACCTGTGTTCAACTGAGCTTCAGGGCTTAAGCGCGCTTACGAGCCTTTAAAAAACTGTCATCAATTTGAGTTTTCCGAAGGTCCATTTACATACAATTCACCCTCTCATAATAATCTTCCATAATTACGACCTTATTCTTTCTTCTGTTTCATTTTCTAAGAGATATTTTACTGGAAATAGATAAATAGATAATCCTAACTTTCGAGCCATCGTGAAATGGGTTTGCAGTTAGGGTTTACGGTTTTAGCATATAAAAGACATAAATAAGTAAATATGGGGACGGAGAGAAAGAGAATTAGGGTACCTACTTGATTTTGCCGGAGAAAGAGATCGCCGATGACTTCGCCGGAGAGAGATATGGAGAATAAAGTTTAACAGCCGACGGAGAGGGAAATGCAATGGATTTCACCAAAACACCCGAAGGAATTGGTGGGCCGAACCGCTGAAGTATATGTTAATGAACGGTTAGCCTCTAATAACACATTTATTTACTTTTAAACCCTTGTTTAAAATGTCTTTAGTCTTTAACCATTGATTTAATAAATTTTACCTGTCCGGACAAAAATATCCTTCTGCTCATAAAAGTTCAGGACCAAGTGTCCTTAACTTTTGAGCTTATTAGTCTAAGTTCAGGACCAAGTGTCCTTAACTTTTGAACTTGCAACTCTAAGTTAGGACTTCAGGACTACGTGTTCTTAACTTTTGAACTTGAAACCGATGTTCAGAGCCACATGTCCTTAAGTTCGGTGCTTGTAACTCTAGGTTAAGGACTACTTGAACTTGTAAGTCTAAGTTCAGGACCTATTGTCCTTAACTTTTGAGCTTATTAGTCTAAGTTCAGGACCAAGTATCCTTAACTTTTGAACTTGTAACTGTAAGTTCAGGACTAAGTGTCCTTAACTTTTGAGCTTATTAGTCTAAGTTCAGGACCAAGTATCCTTAACTTTTGAACTTGTAACTGTAAGTTCAGGACTAAGTGTCCTTAACTTTTGAGCTTGTTAGTCTAAGTTCAAGACTAAGTGTTGTTAACTTTTGAACTTGTAATTCTAAGTTGAGGACCAAGTGTCCTTAACTTTTGAGCTTGTTAGTCTAAGTTAAGGACCTATTGTCCTTAATTTTCGAGCTTGTTAGTCTAAGTTCAGGACTTCAAAACATATTGTCCTTAACTTTTGAACTTGTAACTATAAGTTCAGGACCTATTTTCCTTAACTTTTGAGCTTGTTAGTCTAAGTTCAAGACTAAGTGTTGTTAACTTTTGAACTTGTAATTCTAAGTTGAGGACCAAGTGTCCTTAACTTTTGAACTTGGAACTCGAAGTTCAGGACTAAGTGTCCTTAACTTTTGAACTTGGAACTGTAAGTTCAAGATCCATAATGCACGATTTTGCTCAATTGAACAAAATTAATCACAAAGACCAAGAATTTTGCAATTATTACATATGAACTAGCAGAAAATAAAAGTTAAAACAAAGAACTAGAAAATGTAAGAATTGTTTTTCTCACTGTGCATGCGCGAATTTTTTCGGGAAAGAGAGGAAAAAGGAGGGCATAGAATTTCAGACAGTGAGGAAAGTGATTGGAGCTTTGTAATTCTCAACTTCAGAATCTGATTCAGTAATACTAAGCCCTTAAGTTTGTCAAAACGCTGTCTCAAAGACACAGTTCTTCTCCGTAACATGAAAGAGATAAAAAAAGGGTAATACAGTCTTTTCATATTAATTTTAATAGACTAGTGGTTATTATTGCTAAACATTGAAAATGCTGGATAAAAAGTAAATACCACTTTAAAAAGTGACAACCCCACATAATTTTTACCTTGGATCTAGAATTGAAGTCCATTTAGAATTTGGGTTTTTATTGATTTGAGGTTATACAAGTCCAAATTATTCCATACAGTTTGGTCCCAGATTCTGTCAATACGGGCTGGTCCGACCCAGTCTAGCCAGGCCACACGGGCTTTGGCATTTGATTAGCTGGGCTAAGCCAGCTCACTATTTTTATGGCCCTTAAAATGGTTATCTCATCCCTGCCCTACGTGGGTAACTGGCCCCATGGGTTAGCCCACTATTTTTAAAAATTATTTTTCATATATTTTTAAAAATATGAAAAACAAGAATGTTTTTTAACTTGTAATATGTGTGTTATAGATATATATACACCAGGTGCACAAATTACAAGTTAAAGAAACATACTTGTTGGATAGTAAGCTTCTGCAAAACTAAATAACTTTTGCCATTGTTCCAATAGATTACTATAAAACACAAAAACGAAGGACAATGTTTTATTCATTAAGGGTCTGTTTGGAAAGCCACCAAGTAATTGAAATTGGTGTAATTACTAGGGCAGTAACTACAGAGCTTAGTAATTACATAGTTGTGTAATTACGACGACCTGTTTGTTTGTCATACTGTAATTACGACGACCTATTTTTTTGTCATAGTGTAATTACACATTAGATTAAATTTTAAATGAAGTAATTATCAAAACTTAAAAGTTAATATAATAAATATATGCTTGTAAATTTTTATAAGTATAAATGATATTATATTTGATATTTAAGATGTATATTTTTTCGTGAATATACATTAATTAATAATCATATATTTATAACTAGTATTGTAAAAATAATTTATATAGATATATTTTTCAAGTTAATAATATTTAGTTTAGAAACTTACAAAAACTAAAAATATACATTTTATAAGAACATCATGGAATTCATGTTTGATAAAATAAATTAATATTTATAAATATGTCATAACATTATTCAAATGTTTGACAAAACTAATATATCAAATCTAGCTAAAAAATGAACAACATGCAATATGAGTCAATACTACTAAAACGAGTAAATTGGAACCATGAATATAACACAATTTCAAAATTAAAAAAAAAAAGTTTAACGTATGTCAAATTCAACATAATAATAGTAAGTTTCACTACAACTTAAGATCAGGACACATAATAAGTTTATAACCACTTCAACAACGAAATTCCACTTTAATTGCATCACTCATTATATGCCAAATTTGTTAATTACTCATTATTTCTAATATTAGGAGGTGTAGTTTTAAAAAATAGAATAATAAAAATAAATAAAAAATAAAATATAAGCAATTACATGGAATCACAAGAAGTAAAGGTAGAGAAATAAAAAATAAAAATGTACAAAGAAAATTATATTTTAAAATTACAAAAGAAATTAAAAAGAAAAAATAAAATTAAAAAATTAAAATAATAGAAATAAAAAGTTATAAAAAATAAATTAAAATAAAAACAAAAAAGAAAGAAACTAAAAGATAACCTTGCAATTACACAGTGTAATTACCACAAATTCTAACATCCCCCTGAGAATTGGAGAGTGTAATTACACCCATCCAATTACACCCAATTCTATGCTAACCAAGTAATTACTTGGCCAAACAAACATGTCAAACTGTATAATTATATTCAAATCCATTTCCAAAGTGGCTTTCCAAACATGGTCTAAAAGCAATATTCAAAACAAGCTATTAAAAAATATTTTTAAGGTGCTCATGATATATTCATCACCGACAAATCATCTTCACCGAGAACATTGAATCCTCTTGTGAAACAAAAATGACTTAACATCTTCATTTTCATCTAAATCTATAATTATATGTAATGTTGATTTGTTAAATATTAAGAAATAACTATAATTTTAAGAATAAAAAATATTTAAATTTTCCATAAAAAATATTACCATTTTGATATTGGACTAATCTTCTTGTTATTTTAGTTCCCTATATTTTATACATTTAATTAAATACGTTTACTAAGGGTGAAATTAAAAAATAATCAGTTTTACAAGTGGTAATTGAAAAGTGGCCATTGTTTCAAATATAATCAAAATTTAGCTACTTTTCATGTAAAGGTAAATCTGAACGAAAACACTGTTCAAAATCTAGAAAATATTCCAGCATAGCATACTGGAGTTCCAATATATTATATTGGAATTCCAGTATATTATGTTGGTCCAACAGTTGCAAGCTCATACACATGTGCTCCAATCTCCTGTATATTATGCTGGAACTTTCCGTGTTGCAGCAAAATAGTGGTTATATTTCAATGACTTTGCAAACGGTGGCTATTTTTCAATTATCAGTCCAAAAACTAGTTAGCACATGCTATTTTGACAAGACCATGGGTTGGTCAAGCCTCATGGGCCACAGGCTTACTTGGACCGGGCTTAAAAGCCTCGTTTTTAAATGGGTTCCAAAAATCTTAGCCCAACTTTATTAAAATCACGGGCGGAGTTCGGCCGGCCTAGCGGGCCAAGTCCATATTGACGACTCTACCAGATTATATATACACATACATAAATAGAACACACATTTTTTTGAAAAATCTAAACGGTATAGAAGACCAAGAAATAATAGACGAAAAACATATATTTTGTATATTAATATATAATATACATATTTGTACCTAATCAATATATTAATTTTTTATATATTTGACCAGGGGATATAATTAACTTTGGCTGACCGATCAAATAGGTTAAAACCCCTATTTTTTCTTGTCATTTTTCTTTATTATATACTAACTAAGTAATAAAAGTAAGATAAAATCACCAACACTATTATAATTTAGAGCAATTGAAAATTCTTCAGAATATAAGCTTACAAAATTCGAATCAAGGATTCAAATATAAATTTGAAAAATAGCGTGACAGTTAAGGAAAGACATGAATCCAATTGAGCAGCTGCAATAGGAGGTCGTTGGATTCAATACTAGCGAATTGTGGTCTCTTAAATCTTAATAATCAAGTTAATCCTACATTAAGAGAGAGAGATAAATTTTAATTTATAAGTCTGAGTAAAAACGTATATGCACCTGGTGTTTAAGAAATAGTAACGATTTTATTTTCTTTTTTCATCTAAATGAATTTCATATGATTAATAACCATTTTGGTCCATTTCATCAAATGGCAAAACATCTAAATTACTTGAATGAAATATTGTTCAATGCCCAGTCTATATTTTGTTTATGTTATCTGCTCTTTCAAGGGATTGGCAGAGAAAGAATTGGATGGGGGAAAAAGCGAGGAAATAAATTCGTATCATAAAAATCCATAATCTTCATATTTTATTTCATCACTTCAATGTTCGAAATTTGCAACTATATATATATAAGAAAAAAATCAAAACAAATTAAACTAATGCCTATCCACAAGCGGGGTTTAGGGACGTAAAAATGGCGTGTAGTAGCCATTAATTAAGGGTGTCTTTAATTTTTATCCACTAATTATAATGCTCAGCAAAAATAGCCACTACTAATAGAAAAAAAGATAATTTTATCCTTTCTTCCTCTCTTTCGCGTTGCATTTTCATCTGGAATACCCAAGGTGATTTCATGGTCGGCCTCCTTCATGCTTGGTCAACAGCATCAATCCCTCAATCCCTTATTTGTGCACATGAATCCCTCAATCCCTTATCTCTCTCTCT